GAGGTCAGAAGAGGGTGTCAGATCCTGCAAAACTGGAGTTATGGAAGATTGTTAGCCACCATGTGGGTGTTGGGAACTGAACCAAGACCCTCTGCAAGAGCAGCTAGTACTCTTAACTGCTGAGCCATCTCTCTGGCCCCCAAAACAAAAGGTTTTTAATATTACATTTATTTATTTATTTATTTATGTGTGTGTCAGTGTGTGTACATGGGTGCATGTGCCACAGCCCCCAAATGAAGGTCAGAGGACAAGCTATGGAAGTTAGTTCTCACCTTCCATGGCTGGAGAGGCCAAAGCAAGGACAGCAGGGGCCCCCTCTCTGCAGCTGGTCCTCAGGATTGAACTCAGGTCTTCAGGCTTGGCAGCAAGCACCCCCACTTGCTCAGCCATTTTGAAGGCCCCAGAAGCCAGCCTTTTCTGATCCCAGGCCTTATCCCTGACATAGGGCACCTCCGTCTGGCCAGTGGAGCCCACCGATGTGAGGGGCGTGTAGAACTCTTCCTGGGACAACGGTGGGGCACTGTTTGTGATGATGCCTGGGACCTTCGGGCAGCCATTGTCCTGTGCCGGCAGCTGGGCTGTGGCCAGGCCCTGGCAGCCCCTGGCGAGGCCCACTTTGGCCCAGGCCGAGGCCCCATCCTCTTGGACAATGTCAAGTGCCGTGGAGATGAGAGCACCCTACTACTCTGTTCTCACATCCGCTGGGATGTTCACAACTGTGACCACAGTGAAGACGCCAGTGTCCTGTGCCAGCCATCATGACCCAGCTGGCTTTGCACACCACATCTGAGCTAAGAAGCCGATTGGGACCTGATCCTCCTCCTCTTCCAGGAAGCCCTTCTATGATATATCTGCAGTTCCTGGTGCTCCTCTCTCCCCTTACATGGGGGAGCCTGCCTATACCCCAAATCCTTCTCTTGTGTGTCCTGAGACTGTTGTCACCTGCTGGAAGCTGAGTACAGTGCACATAGTCATGTTTTGCTAGCCAGCAGAAAACAAGGACCATTCACTCTTAACTCTTCTCCTTGGGGGAGCTCTTATATAGTACCCTCTCATTGCCTTTCTCAACCCATATCCACAAAGCTTGGGCTCTCTCTAAATTCCCTCATCCCCTTCCCCTGACCTATTTTGGTCACTCTGATAAGAGGGCGGTAGGAGGAATTGGGGTGCTCTTTCCATAGATGCACAGGGGACTGCAAAAAAACCTAGGTCACAGCCTTCCCTGCTGGGTAAGGACCTGGACTCAGATGGTGCTCAGCTGAACAGGGGGGCTGGAGGGGCCAAAGCAGGGACAGCGGGGTCCCTCTCTGCTGCTGGAACCAGCGTCTCTGCTTTCCACTGCCCCCAGCACAGAGCCTCCACCTTGCAGTACCAAAGAAGCCTGGAGACCTGTAGCCAGGGTTCATAGGTGCCAAGTCAATAAAGCATTATCCTGCCTGTCTTTTAACTGAGGTCATAGTTTGAGGACTAGTGTATTATTTGTGGCAGCTAGAGAGACTCTAGGCAGGACTTTCTGGAGGCAACCAGTGTGAGATGAAGGGCTGTGGTCCAAGTGCATCATCTGGGAGTTCTCTATAAGCCCATTAATCCTGGAAATGCTGCATAACTATGGCAGGCAGCTGAGCCTCCTGGAGAATCTCTTGCCCATCTTCTCTGTCCTTCAACTAGACCCAGTGAAGGAAGGGAAGTTGCGTATGGTGGTACATGGCTATACTCCCTGAACTGGGAAAGCTGAAGCAGGAGGATTGCTGGGCGTTCCAGGCCCACCCAGGGCTACAGGGTGAAAACCTGTCTCAGTCAACCAAAACCAAAGCAACAACAGCAAATTAAACTAAATAAAATAACAGCAGGTGGTACATAACTGTAATCCTATCACTTGGAAGTTGGAGGCAGGAAGACCAGGTGTTCAAGTCACCCTCAATTACATAACCATTCAAGGCCAACCTGGGCTACATGAGAGCCTGTCTCAACAAATCAAACCAAAAACATCCCGGTGTGGTGGTGTGGTGGTGTGGTGGTGTGGTGGTGCACACCTTTAATCCCAGCACTCTAGGAGCAGAGGCAAGTGACTATCCGTGAGTTCAAGGCCAGCTGGGTCTACATAGGGAGTTACAGGCCAGCATGGGCTACAGGGAGACCCTGTCTCAAACAAAAACAAAAAAATAGAAAAACCCAAAGCACAAGAATCATGGGGACCAGGGAGATAGTTAAGTGGGTAAAGTACTTGCTGTGCAAGCATGAGGATCTGAGTTTGGATCCCCAGAACCCACATGAAAACCAGATGTGGGGGCTGGAGAGATGGCTCAGCAGTTAAGAGCACTGCCTGACTGCTCTTGCAGAGGACCCAGGTTCAATTCCCAGTACCCACATGGTGGCTAACAGCCATCTGTAACTCCAGTTCCAGGGGAATCCAACACCCTCTTCTGACCTCTGCAGGCATTGCACGACACGGGTGCACTTACACATATGCAGACAATACACTCATAAAATAAAAATAATGAATAAAAATTTTTTAAAAAGCAAAAAGACAGATGTGGCAGCTGTAATTGCAGCACTGAGGGACAGAGACAGGGCTCCGGGACTCACTGGCCAGCCTGCTTAGCTAAAAAAGGTGAGCTACAGGTCCCAGTGAGAAATCCTGTCTAAAATATAAGGTGAGAGGATGGCTCAGTATTTAAGGGCACTGGTTTAGGTTCCTAATACCCACATAGCTGCTCAAAACCATCTATAATGCCTGGCATGGTGGCACACACCTTTAATCCCAGCAGTCCTGAGACAGAGGCAAGCTGATGTCAGATCTACAAGCTGATCCCAAGGCCAGTGTGGTCTGTATAGCAGATTGCATGCAAATCAGGGCTACATAGTGAGATCCTATCTCAAAACAAATGAAAGAAAAGAAAAATAGTCTGTAACTCCAGTTCCACAGGATCTGATGCCCTCTTCTGGCCTCCTCAGACACCAGACATGCACGTAGTACACATACATACATGTAGGCAAAAAATTCATGTACATAAATTGGTTTTGTTTTTTTTTTTTTGGTGTTTTTGAGACAGGGTCTCCCTGAAGCCCCAGCTCTCCTGGAACTGAGTTCCAAGCTAGTTGGGCAACAGGGAGACCCTGCCTCAAAAAAAAGATATAAAGGTAGAGGGCTGGCAGGATGGCTCAGAAGGTTAAAGCATGCTGTCATGGCTGATGATCTGAGTTGGATCCCCTGTGCCTATGTGGTAGGAGAGATTGGATTCCCACAAGTTGTCCTCTGACCTCCACTGAAGCACACAACACATAGGTGCGCGTGCGCATGCACACACACACACACACACACACACACACACACACACACACACAAAACAAAAATAGGGCCCCCAGCTGAGAATACCTTTATCCTTTAATACACGAGGTAAAGGGTGAGATGCCCATTTCATATTCAAACCATAGCATCATCAAAAGAAACAGAGTCACAGGCTCCAAGATTAGGATGTGGGCATTTTGGGGGCCATTATTTTAACACCCTAAACTTTCAGCCAGGGAGTGAGGCAGATATTTTGGCTGCCAATTTTACCAGCCTTTCACAATGTAGCATAGGCTGGTCTCAAAGTCTCCATCCTTTGATTTCAAATTCCTGACTACTTGGTTTACAGGCATGCACAACCACAGCCAGCAGAAGTTTTTCGTTGGATTTTACATTTAAAAAAAAATTACATTAGGGGCTGGAGAGATGACTCGGAGGTTAAGAGCATGCACTGCTCTTCGAGAGGACCTGAGTTCAATTCTCAGCACCCACATCGGTGGCTCACAAGCGCCTGCAACTCCAGTTCCAGGGGGATCTGACTCCTCTGGCCTCTGTGGGCACCTGCACTCATGTTCACAGACACGTAAACACACATATGCACATAATTAAAAACAATCTTAAAAATAAGTACGTTAATTTATTTCCATGGGAGGGTGTTGCATGCCATAGTACACATGTGGCAACCACAGGAGTTGGTTCTCTCCTTCCACCATGCGGGCCATGCCATCAGGATGTCACTCAGGTTGTCAGGCTTGCAGCAAACCCCTTTAACTACTGAGCCATCTCACTGGTCCCAGCAAAATTGTGTGTGTGTCTGTGTGTCTGTGTCTGTGTGTGTCTTGAAGCTCTGGGGATCATACCCAGAGCCTTATGTATGCTAAGCTGGCTCTCTACCACTTAACTATTCCCTCCCCCCATTCTTTCTCCATCCCTTATGATATTGTGGCTTCTTTGATTCTTTCTCACTAACCTGTTCCCCATACTACACAAACAGGGAGGGTGCTTGGGCCGGTAAGATGGCTCAGTGGGTAAGGCGCTTGCCACCAAGCCTGATGACCTGAATTGAATCCCTGGGACCCACAAGGTGGAGGGAGAGAACTTCTTCCTCTAACCTACACATGTACACTGCTCCACATGCGCACACACACACACACACACACACACATCTGTACATATAAACACATACACAGTAAGTAAATAAAAATGTTTACAAAAATTTAAATAGAGCTTTTCCAATGTTAGAACTCTGATGGTGCCATTTCCCTGCTCAAAGCCCTCCCATGGCTCCCAAGTACTATTCTTCAACTCTTCAAGCTATGTTTAAAACGATGGTGCACTGTCTGGCTGTTTGTGTTTTCAGCTTCATCACTTGCTGCTTGCTGCCAGGACCTAATAGGCTGAACTCTTTCCAATCCCACTAACGTCTGAGCTGTCTTCCCTTGCAGGGGCCTCTGCACACAGTGTTCCCTCTGCCCGAAATATGCATCATTGTCTCCTCCTTCCCCTTAACCAACTTTTATTTTGCCTCCACCTTCCCCATGGTACTTGGGATGGAACTCAGGGTCTCATGCATGCTAGGAAAACTCTACTGCTGAGCCACACCCCCAGCCCCTCACTGGGGGATTCTAGGTAGGTGCCCTTCCACTGAGCCACACCCCCAGCCCCTCCCTCACTGGGGGATTCTAGGCAGGTGCCCCTCCACTGAGCCACATCCCCAGCCCCTCCCTCACTGGGGGATTCTAGGCAGGTGTTCTACCACTGAGCCATACCTCCAGCCCCTCACTGGGGGATTCTAGGCAGGTGCCCTACCACTGAGTCATGCCCCCAGCCCCTTACTGGGGGATCCTAGGCAGATGCGCTACTGCTGAGTCATACTCCCAGCCTGGTCTCCAGTCTCAGCTTTTGTTTTTTTTTTTTTTTGTCCAGAGCCCTTCATTAACAGTCACTCCTGGTTTGGATGAGGTTTCTGTCATGTTGGGTACTGTACCTCCCTGGTGGCTCAGACTTGCAGTGTAATCTAGCATTCAAGAGGCTGAAGAACACAGTATTGAAGAAATTGGATGTGGTGACACCTGCCTGTAATCCCAGCGCTCTGGAGGTAGAGAAAGGAGAATTGGAGGTTCTAGACCATCCTAGGCTACATATGAGTTAAAGGCTAGCCTAGGCTACATGAGACACTGCTTAAAAGAAAAGATGCTTACCTACATGAAGTGGTGGCACAAGTCTGTAATCCCAGCACTTCACATGCTGAAGCAGGTGGATTAGGAGTTCAAGGCAGACTGGACTAAGGAAGAAGGCCCTTGTATGCTTACCACCACACCCTCCCCTTGTCCCACCCATACAGTCTCAGATCCTTTTCCATTCTATCCTTTTTTTTTTGTCTTTTTTGAGACAGGGTCTCCCTGTAGTCCCAGCTGACCTGAACTCACTATGTAGACCAGGCTGGCTTGAACTCAGATCTGCCTGCCTCTGCCTCTCCAGTGCTGGGACCAAAGGCGTGTGCCACCACATTCTATTCTTTTTTAAAACTTTAAAAAAATTTTTATTTTTTATTTTATTTTATGTGTGTATTGCCTGCATGTAAGTAAGTGTACCCATGTCGTACAATGCCCGCAGAGGTCAGAAGAGGCTATTGGATCCCCGGGGACTGGAGCTACGGACAGTTGTTACCTGCCATGTGGGTGCTGGGATTCAAACCTGGGTCTTCTGCAAGAACAACCAGTGTTCTTAACCACTGAGCCATGTCTCCAGACCCTCCATTCTATTCTGTACTCCTTATGGCCTACCCCAGTGCTGCCACCATCCCTCTCTAGCCTTCTTTCTCTTTCCTGCTGTGCAAGGCCTCTGATAGGATTTTGTTTTTTTTTGTGTGTGTGTGTGTGTGTGTGTGTGTGTGTGTGTGTGTGTGTTTTGAGACAGGGTCTTCTCTGTAGCCCCAGCTTTCCTGGAACTCACTATGTAGACCAGGCTAGCCTTGACCTCACAGAGATCCAGGTGCTGGAATTAAAGGTGTGTCCCACCACACCCAGCTTTTTTGTGGTTTTAAACATACTTTATTTACTTTTTTTATGTGAATGAGTGCATTGCCTGCATGTGTATAAGTGTACCTGTGTCATGCAACACTGGTCAGAAAAGGGTGTTGAAGCCCCTGGAACTGGAGTT